ACGGGTGCGAGACGGTCTCGTGTGTGGTCGGATCATCCTCGGATCATCCTCGGATTGGTCTCGGATCGGTCTCGGATCGGTTCCGCATTGTAAATGGGGTTTCAACTGTGTTTCGTCTATGTGCGGTCGACAGAATTCCATTGTGAATTGCAACTGTAGGATCGTTCCCGCAATGTAAATGGGATTGCAAGTGGCGCTGGTGGATGAGTTGCCAATGGAATTCCATTGTGATTTGCAACTGTAGTATCCTTCCCACAATGTAAATGGGATTGCAAGGTTGCTTCCTGCTTTGGCTGCATACGTAATACTATTGTCTTTTGCAGCTGGACTTCGTAAATCGTATTGGAGTGGCTGCATGAAGGCTGCGACAGTGATTTGTCAGCAGATTTTCTCCATTTTGGCGCTAGTGATTTCCTTCTAAAAATCCTTTTAAAAAGTGCTTCAAAATCGTCTTTTTTTCGCTCTGGCGTCGAGATCCGGTTTTGGAGCTACAATTTCCGACGCCGTTGCGCGTAGTTCTATTGTGTTTTGCAACTCAGTCTCTGCAGATCGCATTGTAATGGCTGCGTCAAGGTTGCTTCGTGCTGTGGCTGCATTTGTCATACTATTGTCTTTTGCAGCTCGATCTCGTAAATCGTATTGGAGTGGCTGCATGAAGGCTGCGACAGTGATTTGTCAGCAGATTTTCTCCATTTTGGCGCTAGTGATTTTCCTTCTAAAAATCCTTTTAAAAAGTGCTTCAAAATCGTCTTTTTTTCGCTCTGGCGTCGAGATCCGGTTTTGGAGCTACAATTTCCGACGCCGTTGCGCGTAGTTCTATTGTGTTTTGCAACTCAGTCTCTGCAGATCGCATTGTAATTGCTGCGTCAAGGTTGCTTCTTGCCACGGCTGCATGCGTAATACTATTGTCTTTTGCAGCTGGACTTCGTAAATCGTATTGGAGTGGCTGCATGAAGGCTGCGACAGTGATTTGTCAGCAGATTTTCTCCATTTTGGCGCTAGTGATTTCCCTTCTAAAAATCCTTTTAAAAAGTGCTTCAAAATCGTCTTTTTTTCGCTCTGGCGTCGAGATCCGGTTTTGGAGCTACAATTTCCGACGCCGTTGCGCGTAGTTCTATTGTGTTTTGCAACTCAGTCTCTGCAGATCGCATTGTAATGGCTGCGTCAAGGTTGCTTCGTGCTGTGGCTGCATTCGTAATACTATTGTCTTTTGCAGCTGGGTCTCGTAAATCGTATTGGAGTGGCTGCATGAAGGCTGCGACAGTGATTTGTCAGCAGATTTTCTCCATTTTTTGTTTGTGTGTTCGATAGTTTTTTTTTTGTTGCTGTATCTGTTTAGGTTTTAGGTGTCATGTTGTTTTGAGTGGGGGCGTTGAAGAGTGCAGTGTGAAGTGTACAGTGTGAAGGAAGCAGTGGGAAGTGAGAAGTGTGAAGTGTGGAGTGTGAAGTTTAAGTTTGGAGTGCGAAGAGCGCAGTGTGAAGTGGGAAGTGTGAGGTTTGGAGTGTGAAGGAAGCAGTGAGAAGTGTGAAGTGTGGACTGTGAAGTGTGAAGTGTGAGTGAAGTGTGGAGTGCGAAGTGCGAAGTGAGAAGTGTGAGTTTTGGTGTGTGAAGTTTGGAGTGGGAAGGAAGCAGTGAGAAGTGAGAAGTGTGAAGTGTGGAGTGTGAAGTGTGGAGTGTGAAGTGCGAAGTGAGAAGTGTGAAGTTTGGAGTGTGAAGGAAGCAGTGAGAAGTGAGAAGTGAGAAGTGAGAAGTGTGAAGTGTGGACTGGGAAGTGTGGAGTGCGAAGAGCGCAGCGTGAAGTGTGAAGTGTGAAGTGTGAGGTTTGGAGTGTGAAGGAAGCAGTGAGAAGTGTGAAGTGTGGACTGTGAAGTGTGAAGTGTGAGTGAAGTGTGGAGTGCGAAGTGCCAAGTGAGAAGTGTGAAGTGTGAGTTTTGGAGTGTGAAGTTTGGAGTGGGAAGGAAGCAGTGAGAAGTGAGAAGTGTGAAGTGTGGACTGTGAAGTGCGAAGTGAGAAGTGTGAAGTTTGGAGTGTGAAGGAAGCAGTGAGAAGTGAGAAGTGAGAAGTGTGAAGTGAGAAGTGTGAAGTGTGGACTGTGAAGTGTGGAGTGTGAAGTGCGAAGTGAGAAGTGTGAAGTTTGGAGTGTGAAGGATGCAGTGAGAAGTGTGAAGTGTGGACTGTGAAGTGTGAAGTGCGAAGTGAGAAGTGTGAAGTGTGAAGTGTGAAGTTTGGAGTGTGAAGGAAGCAGTGAGAAGTGAGAAGTGTGAAGTGAGAAGTGTGAAGTGTGGACTGTGAAGTGTGGAGTGCGAAGTGCGAAGTGAGAAGTGTGAAGTGTGAAGTGTGAAGTTTGGAGTGTGAAGGAAGCAGTGAGAAGTGAGAAGTGTGAAATGTGGAGTGTGAAGTGTGAAATGCGAAGTGAGAAGTGTGGACTGTGAAGTGTGAAGTGTGGACTGTGAAGTACGAAGTGTGAAGTGTGGACTGTGAAGTGTGAAGTGTGAAGTGTGGACTGTGAAGTGTGACGTGTGAAGTGTGGACTGTGAAGTGTGAAGTGTGCAGTGTGAAGTGTGAAGTGTGAAGTGTGAGGTTTGGAGTGTGAAGGAAGCAGTGAGAAGTGAGAAGTGTGGAGTGTGAAGTGTGAAGTGTGGAGTGTGAAGTTTGAAGTTTGGAGTGCGAAGAGTGCAGTGTGCAGTGTGAGGTGTGGAGTGTCGAGGGAAGGACACGGTCGGGACAGGGTGTCTTTGAACTATAGGTCATTTATGTTTGGGAAACTTCCGCCGCCGGCTTGCCCGGGTCTATGTTATATTATATATATATCCCGTATAAAAAGAAGTGACCAAAACATACCAAAACCATGAAGCTAATGAAGATAATGAGATTGGACGTAATTCTGACTATAGCAACTGTATCGATCCTCCACGGTCGTCCAGGGGATAGATCTCAGCCCTATCTCAGCCCAATTCTGGAGGTATGGCCTGGCTGGCCTCGTGTTTGCCTCAAAAATTGGGGACTACCCCAATTTATGGCCATCAATGGCCATTCAAAAGAGATGAGAAAAACCATGGCATGGAATGGGAGATCTCCTTGTCCCAGACAACCTGATCTTATCCATGTTTCTTCCGTTATGATGTTCTCCTTAGATCCGCACATTCCCATTTTTGCCGGTGAAACCCCGAATTTGTTGCCGTTCAACCACGTGCATTCTTCCGTTCTCCCATGGCCAATCATACTTGCCCTGCACTTTCTGCGAAAGGTGTTTAGTATATGTCCCATCAAAACAGCCATAGATTCGTTAATACTAAAAATAATGTATACTGACTAATCCCCAAAAAGATCAAGAACGTTGAATTCATCTCTCTTTCACTAGGACTTTACTAAAATCCAGCATATTTGACACAGTTTTCTTCCAACCCACCCGGGTTTTCCAACTCGCTCCGCTCCAAGTGTCTGCCCAAAGCACTCAGCGCGCGGGGCCCAGGTCATTAACGGCAGGGCGGAGGTTAAGCATCCGCCCTCCATCAGGGGCATCACGATGAGCTGCTCAGGTCCTAGGGACCCTAAGGATAGGGCTTTGCTTCACCATATGGTGATGACTTAATGCTAAATCATTAATTCGAACTGTAGGTGATATAGTCATAATAACTATATAATATTAATTATAATATAGGTGATATACAGATACAACATTGGATAATTGTAATTGTACCTCTTGGATATTATAATATCTTATAACTATAGGTGATATACAACATTAAGAAAGACGTTGCAATATTGAATATCGTCCTTTTTAGGAAAAATGTTGTGCCGGTGTGGTATACTATCTATGATCATTTACCTATTGGCTGCTGAATGGGGGTACCCCTCTATTCATAACCAGTAAGACAAGGACATCTATAAGAAGTGGTTCATGACCATACGGTTATGATTTAATGTCAACCCTGGATTAATAACCCCCTAGATTGTTAATTGGGAGGGTACCATTTAAGTATCAGATTATGACTATTGGAGGAGTACCCCCCTAATTAATAAACCATGGTTTATTAATCCGGGGTTGACATTATTTTGTATTTACGGAGAACATGTCCAATTTCTTTGGATAAATTATAGGAACCAACCACCAACCATCGACCATTATCCAATTATTTGCTTCAGCATCCCGTTTGGAAAGTGGTTGCATAACCGCATGACGACAAAACATCAGTTACAAATAGGTTATCAACCACCACTTACGAGCACATGGGATGGTGGTAGATCTGAAGAAAAATTCTCTCATGACTACTCCTGGGATGATTTGGAGAATTGGGACGAGAATCGGTAGGGTGGGATGGTCAGTGGGTGAATTGAATCCCTATAACCCCTCAACAAAACTGGTTGGTGGTTTTTCGCCCTACCCCTCTGAAAAATGATGGAGTAACCGTCAGTTGGATGATGAAATTCCCAACTTGAATGGAAAGTCATAAAATTCATGTTCCAAACCACCAACCAGAAACTGTGATCTACTGGGATAATTCTTACAATATCTAAGAATCCAAGAGTGCCACTGCTGTGAAAATGGGTGTGATGATGCTCGCCCAAACATACCATCCGGATCCGTCCGATTTTAGCAAACATGGCAACGGGATAAACCTCCATTGATACGTTTTTTTTTTTGCCAGGTTTGATTACCAGAGGGTACGTTCTATAATCATCCCAATAATCATCCCATGAATATTATCATCCCAACATTCATTCTAAATAAATATATATATATATATCCCAATAATCATCCCATGAATATCCCAAAACGCCGAACCATTTTTTAAAGCGGTCCAGCAGTCGCTGCCATTCGCGGTCCTGATTGTGATCTCCCTAAGATCTCGAGCACATGAGGATGGCGACATTGGCACAAAGCATCTAACCTTAGTCCCACGTCGTCTCGTCAAGTGGTGTTTTGTTCCGTATGAATTTCGAGGCATAGCTAAACGTTAGTGACCGTTAGTGATGATTGAATATGCCAAAATACAACTGTGTTAAGTGAATTATACAACTCAAATACTCAATCTATAGCTAAATCGGCAGATCATATGAGTCAGTGATACGGAAATGGTATAAACATGGTAATCTAAGCGTGAAATCACCAGAAATCACCACAAATCAGCTATCCTCCTTGGTAAAGCTTGGCGACCGGCGAAGCCGTGCCGGCGGTCCCCAAGATTCACCAGTGTTGTGAATCCTCAATTACCCGGCCTGGTAAACATAGAAACAACTATTGAAAAATGGCCTTAAAATGGCCATAGAAATAGTTGATTTACCCAGCTAGAAAATGGTGATTCTCCATAGTTATGTTAGTTTACCAGAGGGTAAACGCTTCTACCATGGTTTACCCCCAAACGTCCCTAAACTATTCACCTTGTCTGTCCCCAGGTAAGCTGATTTAAGCACCCTTTTTGATGGTGCAAAATCCAACCATAGATACATATTTCATTTTTGTTGGTTCATATCCCACTTTATTGTCGGTTTCCAACTATTCATATCTGAAAATTGGTTTGCATGGCAAAGTTTGCATATTTTTTTTGGGTTGTAAACTACGTTCGTGTCACATGTTTCTATGTCGACTTACTATACCCTTACCCATTTTTGGTCCTTAGCATCCCGTTCTTAAATGTTCACAATCCCCTTTTTCCAAGTGTTTGATGGTGAATGTCTGGACAAAGAAACCCAGACAAGACATTAAGATTCTCGACTGATCATCGACATCCACGGCCTTTTTCGATGCAACCTTTTCTGATGCAACTGAAGCTGGTATCCCACACCAGGTGTCAATGATGGCATTGCATTAGTGCCACCTTTCCTGCTGGGCTTGGAGGTATGAGGCTACCTGGCTACCTTCTTGGCCCTTGCACCGGGCGGTGTTTAAGCACCTCCTCCCACGAAAGGCCAGGGGCGGTCCAGAAGTTGTCTGGCCAAAGAATGGAGTGCTTGGCCATCATTCTTTACTGGTTGCACAGGTGATGACTTGGCTCCAGTTCTTGGCTTTGTGTTTGGCTGACCAGAGCCTTTTGCTTCCAACCGGTTTGCTCTTTCTGCAGACTGTTGGTTTCAATGTGGTGAACCCAACAATAAATCAGCCTCAAAATCACTGGAAATCTGTGCTATAAACCCTATAAACCATCCCTAAAGCACGTAAAATGTCCAACCAGCAACGTGGCAATTGGAAATCGAACTTTTCATGGGAGATCTTCTAGCAAGCCATGTGACTGATTACCAGAGGGTGTATGTATATAAGTAAATATATAGTGTATAGTATAATATATATATACATACTGTAGTATACAATATAAATTATATATATATGCATAATATTGTATAATAATATCCCATTATATCCCCACTATTACTGCTTGTATATCCACAGAACATCTCCATTTTCACAGCAAGAAATTCATCGGCCCTTGCCATTTACCCAGCAACTCTCGGTCGAAGTTGTACGCCATACCACCTGATCCGTCGCTCGGATCGCCACAAAATTTCCGATTTTGGGGACCTAACTGCGATCATTTTACCTGGAAGAAATATTACAATATACGCAATCATTCTACATAGCAATTTCTGCAAAAATCATATGCAAAAAATATGTCCCATATTGAGTTTTACTCTAGTCATTTGGGGTGTTCTTACAAACTATACCATACGCATTCACCACTAAACACAATTTAACAATAGTTACAGTAAACATGATTAAAAACCGTGTCAACACCACTAACAAAAACGAGTTCAACACCATTAACAACCACTAACAACAATTCCAGAACCGCACCGCTCATAAGCCATTTAAGACCGTTACAAACGCTTTCGACATCATTAACAAAAAACACTAAACCAATTTCAAAGCCATTAAGCGCCATCAAAAAGTATTTGCATCCACTAAAAAATAGGGTAATGTGGGTAAAGCAATGCCATAAACCATTCCCCAAATCACCGTAAATAGGTGGTATAAACCATTCCCAAATGGGTGGTTTATGACATTGTTTTACCCACATTAGATCATTAGTTAGATATAATGGTTAATAGTGGTCATTACCCACACTACTGGAAAACATGCAACATCTTCACCACCTCGCCCATCACCAACTCCCGCCGGAGTTAAACCTGCAGGCGTCTGGTGGAAGCGCTTAACGGCCACCTGGACGGGTGATGAGTTTAGCCTTTCAAGTTGGTTGATTTACCCCATGAACAAACCATGAATCAGTTCGATATATCTACAATGAACCCGTTCGATATATCAGCTAGAAGCACCAACTTAGCTAACAAACGGGGGCACCATTTGTGGGTTTCCAAAAAAAAAGGGGGTATCTCCAAATCATCCAAAAATTAAACCTTTTCAGTATCGAAACCTATGGGGTAGCACCATTTTAGGAAACCTCCAATCGACTTAAACCACCAATTGCCACTTTTGATGCTTCAAATCCATAGCTTACCTTCGTTGTCCAACAAGCCTCGTTTTCACCAATGAGAACTGGAATCGTTGACCCACAAGACCGTGCTACAACCAACAGCACTGAGGGTAAGCTTGGATACATATATATATATGTATATATATATATGTTCTTTAGGCAAACTATTTGGACACAAACAGCTTCTATAAAAATAACAATCTAAAGATCTTTTGTGTCTATCCAGCTACTTGGCGGAATATCCAGCCATCAACGAGAGCCTCTCGACATCAGTTGGGACCATCATCCCGACGGATGTTGGATGATTGAACCATCCAGGATTGGTTATACCATGTTGTTTCATGTTATACCATCGTTTTTAAGTCAAATCGCCATTTCATTCCCTCTGTTTGTGATAAATGGAGATAAATGCTTTTGTACCTACTGTGCTTTTTGGTTCTTTAAACCAACTAACCATTTGCTGCGAATCCATATAGAACATTATAGAACCATGTCAAACTTGAAACTTTCATGCCATTTTCAGCAAACTACTGCTAGATGCTGACGGTCATTGATCTAGAGAGGATGGATCAACAAAAATAATCCCAAAAAAATAGGAAGCAATAACACTACCCTCTGGTAATTTGTTACATAGCTATTGAAATTTACCATAGAAATAGTGGATTTACCCATTGAAAATGGTGATTTTCCATAGTTATGTTAGTTTACCAGAGGGTAACCAGAAAAAGCATCAAACAGCCAAAAAGCCTCAAAACTGATTTCATCACTCCAGTACGGCTGCTTGATAAAATATCTCCCATGTTAGCAGGCTATATTCGAATGTTGGTTTTCAAAAATCCATCTCCAGCAAATATCCCATGTTAATCATGATAGTCCTCTGTACTATTGATTAAGCCCCTCGTTTATGGTTGATGAAATCACTTGAAATCACCATGAACCGCCTGCCCGAAGCGAGGTAAGCTGCACCGATAGACAGTCGCTGCAGCACCCTGCGGTACTGTGCCGCAGTGAACTAAATCGCTAGGTTGAGATTTACATAACTAGGTCTTGTGTTCATGATGATGAAATGACTATACAACTAATATAGTTACATGGGGTTACATGGGGTTGCATGGGGTTATAACCCAACTTAGCCTCTCTCGGACGCTATAGGCACCACTTTAAAATCTGTTTTGCGGGAATGGTTTACGACTGGGTTTACCACACTACAGTTGATGACACGCGTTCCTTGCTACCTATATTAATTGGAGTGACCAAACAATCCAACTGGCATTCGATTCTCCTAAGGTTCCTGACCACAAACACATTTTGTGAAAAGAACTGATTCACCCCCATTTCACAGCTTGAATGCCTGAAAAAATGGCTGCTTTATGTGCAATAGCTTGAAGTTTATACCAGCATATACCAGCTATATCAGCCGTGACCAATAGGGAATACTCCACCATTTCAGGTCAACAACTTTGGGATCATCATCCCATTTCTACGGTTGAAGAATGTTGAACATATGCAACATATGCAACTAGTTGAAACCACAATCCGGCTACTATAAATGCTATAACCCATCCAATTACCCTCGGTAATTTGTTACATAGCTATTGAACATGGCCCATAGAAATAGTGGATTTACCCATGAATAGCATGGTGATGTTCCAGTTCGCAAACTGTTCGTTTATCAGGCCGGGTAACAGGTTTTGTTTCTGGGTGAATTTACCACGGTGGGTTGCTGAAATCCCTCCATTTCCACCTGCCTTGCCCAGAATATTACCATCGGACCAATTGCTACCTGAAAAAGGCGCAGAAAAATAGCTGGGGTTTGTTGTGATACCCCCGCTAATTTAGCGAAACATCAAAAGCATCACTATATGTAACCACGAGAAAAATAATTATAAATATATACTTTGACAGAGAAGGTACATACATTTTAGCAACCCATAAACCATAAACCAACAGAAAGCACATAAACATTAGGTCATCTTAGTAATCAATCCTTGTGATCAACCATAAACACCATGGAATCTGGACAACCGAACTTGACCATCTGCCAGGCTCTGGTTTGGTGGAGCCCCTATGGGAGTTTCTTAAAATGGGGGATCCCCAAAAACCATAGGCTTCAATACTAAACTGGTCATCCATGACTTGGATGATTTGGGGGTCTCCCTATTTTAAGAAACCTCCGTTTCTAGGGAATATATACTAATTGATCTATTGGGGATTATGATAATACATTTTGGATGATGATTTGATTCCACCATTTGTGGAAACCTCCATATTGGATCGCAATACAACCTTACTCCTTGCCATCATTGATTGATTGTATCCACCAATCTGATTGAATAAACTGAATCCTCAGAGATCATTGGGTCAATATGACAATGACAGGTCATGGTACATACCTAATTCATACCACACTGTACGAAAAACACACTCCAAACCGCAAAAGCGTAGCCCAAAAACTCAGTGGCTCGATACTAAAAATTGCCAAACCATGGATCCATGGCCACCCAATCTTTGATCCCATCGATCCTGTGTTGCTCTCTACCCTCCATATTCACAACAGTAAAACACATGTCTAGGAATCATGGAATAATCATTTCACACACATGATATAAAATCATTAAATTCATCAAATCTTTTCTGGTTGGTGGTGCAATAACCATCTTGAAACATATGAGTTCGTCAATCGGAAGGATGACATCTCATATATTATGGAAAAAAATGTTTGAAACCACAAACCAGTTTTATGTTTCCATAATTTTCGAAGCCATGGAACATCTGAGATTCGTTTTGACGAGGCGCAAGCATTGGCCAACGTTCGATACTCCATCAGCTCACCACGATTGCTGTCATCCGCTGCGACCACAATCCTTGGCCACTTGGGGATGATTTCCCTAAAATAAACCATGATTCCCAGGGTTCGGGAGAACAGGGTTTGGTCGTTAGAATTTACCCTGATATACATATACCTATATATTAATATACACACCAAATGGGAGATGAACTAATTGTATTTTGGTATCATGCTTTTTTTTCTCACACCGATCGGAAGACATTACATACCCGTAGCATCCCGTAGCTAAGTTCGCTAAGTTGATGCTTGTAGCTGATATCTCTGGGGCCTAGGCTTCATAGTATCAAACCGGTTGATGGAGTAAACCACATTCTGAGCAAAGTGGATGTGCGTCCCAGTTAAGTGGCTAACCCATGTGGGATTTTTTTGAAGGAGTATACCGCAGTTCCCCAAATCTCATGATTTATCATCCGACTAAAAACAGTGATTTAGGGTATCTGAGCCAACAGCTACAGTGCTCTGCCACCAAGGCCCCTGCCATATCCAACCCAAATCACAACATTGTTGGGGTTTCCTGCAGATTCCTGCAGATTTGCTACCATTTGGGGATGTTGCCATCTTGTATATGCTGGGTATGCTCAACATGCTGAATGGCTGCGTCGGCCCAGTTCGCGTCCAAACCTGAAAAAATCTTGGCAACCGCGAATCGTTTGTTCCATGTAACCTACCCAAAAAAACATGTGTTGAGTTGTTGATTCAATCACCCGAAAACATATATCATATACATCCTGTGAACTGATGCTGTCAGTTCCAACCAATATGGACTCCAAAAACTTATTTAAACCATAGTAAACCATAGGTTTATTAGATCTAGCCACGACATCTATGATCTAAACATATTTAGACCATATAATTTCGACAGTTTAACCAAAATTTGCTTCCGAACATCTCCATATTTTTTCGAGGTACATGGCTTGCGGAGTGCTGCCTCAGTGAGGCGATTCTTAGCGAAACAAGGGGAACCCTACCAGAATATAGGGAGAAACATACCAAAATATTTCATGAAATATTAATATAGAAATATATCTGAAACACACTGAAATATTTCAACTTATAGTTGCATCAGAGGGGAATTTGGAATCTAATATTACCTATAAGCACATTGGCAAAATAGGCTTAACTACGACGACAGTTGAATTATACATCAAATTAAACATAGATAAACATAGATAAATAGGGAGTATAGCCAGTTAGGGTTTGTCTGAAAATAGGGAACCTCCACTTCCAGTGAGCTACCATCATTTTACATATTGAAATTGAAAAAAAGGTATCCACCATATTCAAAAAAAAACAACTGTTTAATGTAAATGATCTATAGTCAAATGAATATCCAATTCCCCCGAATATTGGGTTAAATAAAGTAATTAGACGTCCATTTTTTTTTGAGTTATTGCTACTTGGCTTATCTGATTATCGTAGGGATGTCAGTAGAAGATCACCCTAAAACGTGGCCATCATTCTACACACACCCAGCTGGGTTTCCAGCAGTAAATCGGGATTCAGTTCTTTAGGGGGAACAACATGAAACTACGAAAATGTGTAAGATACTGGGTCCTCAAACATGTTGTCCCTCAGAAAGACAACTACAAAATCATCATGGTTACCCCCTACATACAGTATCCTACACAGTATCGAACACTATCAGCGTTGGGGTGAAATTCTCTCAATTTTTATGTCGACAAGTCTTTTCACAACCGTTCCCCTCTCACTTGTGTCGTGGCTGTGTCGTTTACCCTGCAACATTCTGTGATTGGTGTCCCAAGAGGATTAAGGTGAATGGTGTCCCAAGGATCTGTTTCTTATCTGTTTGGTGAATACATACTCCCATACAAAAACCAAACAGCCGAACGAAGATCAAAACAATAAAAAAAAACTTTAAATAATTTTAAATGCATACCCCCACTATGAAAAGCGGTATCCCGACAAATGACTGGCTATACTGGCTATACACTGCCAGAACGGTTTGCGATTTGACATCATCAAACAGTTGTTGATTATATCCTCTTTAGCTTGCAACTGTCACCCCCATGTCTCTTTCTTCAATGGGTATATTAACACAGCCATGTTTTTGGGCTTGTCTGAAACCACCAACTAGTATGTACTTACGCATCTAGAACCATGTCGAACATGATGCTGGATGTTGACCGTCGTTGACCAAAATATTCTGGTAAAGAATGACAATCTATAAGAGCCAGAAACAAGACTATGATTAATTTATTCCCACTTAATCATAATTTGACTGGTGAAAATTACAGAATATCCCATCATTAAATAGGAATATCCAATTATGTATAGCAAATTAATTACAGCATCTCAGCACCTCCAAATTTTGGTGGCATCTCAGCCATCAATTTCTCTGTCAAGGATCTCTGGCTGCCGCTTTTGCCCAACACTCCAGGTTTTGCCTGACCTCATGGCATAGGATCCACTACACTGGCAGAGGATGGCTGGTTGGTATCTTGGGGGGTGTCCCAAATCAAAGGAACTACGAACATATGATGATTTAACCGCAAAACACTGAGGATATCATTGGATATCATGGGATATAGTGACTTCAATTGAGATTATAACTTATAACGGTGATTTGACCATTGGAAATGGGCATGTTTTATGGGAGATCCAGGGGTAAAACGAAGCATTGGGAATGCGATGAGGACATACAACCAGAACCAGTCATATTGGGGATATTGGGGATATGATGAGATATCTTTGTTTTTACTGCAACTCGGCTACAAAGTGCGGAGTCAAAGCCCGACAGGAATCTGATTAGAATCAATTTCATACCGGCCTTCAGCTGTGTCTTTTTCCGTGAGTCTTGTTGCAATACACACGAGCATATCCTACCCCTTTCAATTCAGCCATCCAGCTCCTGCAACCCCTGTTCTTGTGAGGAAATTGAAGTCTTGCTAGCACAAGCCATTTCTGGGAACCTGCCACCGTTCGTTGTCCTCCCAACGGATTATAACCCCTTGCTGTACAACTGGGATAAAACACAAATCATTGATAACCGTTGATCCAGCGTTGATTTCAACTTCAGGCATACTACCAATAACCGGTTCAGTCATGGGTAAATAGACTATAGGCATCCGAAGACTTATATATTATTTACCCTCCGGTAAATTAACATAGACCCTGGCAGATAGGGGTTGGAAGACTGGTTTCCACTAAAAATGGCTTATTTTCAGGGTCTATGTCAATTTAGCAGAGGGCAATTGGCAAGTCATTTTGCGCATGAGGTCATGCAACCCCTCGCGAATCCTTCCAGTACTTCACAAAATCAGGGGTGGAAACAACTGGATGGACACAGATCATTTATCGGATGGTGGTGTTGGAATGGGTAATTGTCGAAATTCAGGGCTATTCAAGATTATCATAATATATCATAGGATGGTCCACCAAACAGCATGAGTCATGTGATATTGGGTTTTCTTAGGGAAACAACACATGACCCGTCAACTTGCAGTCGCTGTCGTGGGCGACTTTGAATGACTAGCCGGCCATTGACTGTTCATTGGGGGCTCCATCCAACTCCTAGCGTCGCGTCCCCAAATGGAAACTCCTGGGCCACCAGTAACACATGATATCGACAGTTGCCCACGTTCCGCTCAAATCTGCCGACTGATTTTATCTCGCATATTTTATCATATTCGCTACTGTAGTTGGCCAAAATCCCGATTTTGATGAGGATCTCTAATGACATCCTCTAAAAAGGGAAGGGATCCCCATTCGATCTGAACATCCCCTGCCATTTCTTCCCCAAACCTTGCCTGACTCGAGCTGGATGGCATCGACCTGACGATGCCAATTTTCAACAAAAAAAGGGCTATGGTGGATGGTCAAATCCATGGATTTTCACCTCTGAATAAAAAGCGGGCTCGCCACAAAGACTGCAACAAACACAAACTCACCCGAAAATATTTAGGTGGGAGCTTCAATTTACTACCATGAAGATGCTGAATTTACTAGTTCCTATCTTAGATTATCTGAAAGGAGTTGTTACTTACAAAGAGCCAAAAAAATCACCGGATCGGACCAAGGTCATCCGATGAGATTTCACCAAGTGACCATGGTTGAATGTGGTGACTAAACACAAAAATGTTAACTATATGATCAATGGCTTGGTTTAAGGGAAAATCTACAGGAAACCATGTTTTTTTTACCATCAAATATATATGTTGGGGTTTCCGGTTAAAATTTTCCCATCATCCAATTCTATGATATGAGATACAATATGATACAATATGATACAATCAACAACTAGTATGGTGACTCTGGTTTGGTGATCTTGGTGCAGTTTACCCATCAATAATTCGGGCTTGAGCAGCAGAATATGATAGAATATGGGTAAGCTATTTTTTTCTAGTAGAGGGACACTGGGTTGAAACAGGGGATGAGCCCCAAATTGATTGCCACTTACAACTTGAGAACACGACAGTTCACTCTTTTTTCCATCGGATGCTGGGTTCTCCATTCTGATACCTGATTTGTATCCAGCCGACCAAAGTATGCAGGATAGAAAAATACTATGTTTATATAGGTGATCAAATGGATTTCCTCGTCAATCAGTCTGGATATAGTTTAATATAATCAATTGACTATTGATGCACACATCATAAACACTTGTGAACATGATTCAAGTTCACGTTCACAAAACATCATGGAATATTTCCTTGGGCTGGCATGCAATTTTTAGAATACAGTATATCACTGGTAAACTAACATAACTATGGAAAATCACAATTTTCAATGGGTAAATCCACTATAAATGGCCATTTTCAATAGCTATGTTGACTTACCAGAGGGTATCACTGGTTCTTGTACTAGACAATCTGGATAGTATACCCTCATGGCCATTGAACATCCACGATTTAGTTCGATGATTTTCCCAGCTATAAACATCCATTTATAGAGATCTTCCACTACCACCGGCTGAGTACCGGTGGCCAACTCTATCCACAGCCACAGGCGACCCCCGTGGCATCAAGTGGCATCATTATTTCGATTGAAACGACTATGAGGATATCCATTAAACCCTTTGAATTGAAGCCATTATATATTTGGGGTTATTTCTCCATTTCTCAACTGGTTGGTGGTTTCAACCCCTCTGAAAAATATTAGTCAGTTGGAGTCAGTTGGGATGATTCTTCCCAATATATGGAAAAAAATGTTCCAAACCACCAACCAGTTGATACAAACCCAATGAGTTTTTTCTGTTGGGTCTTAGCCTTAAATCCGGCGACTTACCACAGAACGGCTATCTTTTCAGATGTTTTCGCATGATCATTCAAGGATCCTCCCACAGATCGTAGCCGGCGAATATTCCTGGTTGGTAAGTCCCGGATAACCAGGGATACAAATAAATAGCTTACCCATATATGAACCAATTTCTCATAATTTCTCAATCCCTACATAATTACCTTTTTTTTAAATCCCATTTCTACCTGGTAACCCCACTAACCAGTGACATCCAGTGAAAAAAAGGGTGATCCTCCAAGTTGGGCGCACCATGGTTTAATCGCACCACGGCTTGCGATGGACCCGTCCTGGACCCGTCCTGGTTGGAGCACGACCCGTCGCACGTCTTTCGTCCAAGGAACCGTCTTCTTTGAGGACTTGAGGCCGAAGACATCTTTCAGCCACTCGCGTTTCCAGGTGCATAGCTTAGCGAGACGGTGAGTCGGAGCTGGTGAGTCGGAAAATGACATGAGGGCCCATAATATCGGGACAATTCAGAGGACATAAAGATGTAGTAATGTAATGTAATATAATGTAATGTAATGTCATGTAATGTCATGTAATGTAATATAATACAATGTCATGTATGTATATATATATACATACATACATACATACATACATACATACATACATACATACATACATACATACATACATACATACATACATACATACATACATAAGTGTACATAGACACACACACACATGTCGGTTTGTCTGAAATTTAGGTATCCTTATATAACATACATATCTTTTTAATCACCAATTTGGTATTCACGGTTAATCCCACATTTTCAGACACAGCATCACAGGGAAGAAGTGGCAGGGATCCACCAGCCATCAACTGAAGGAGCTTTGTAACATTTTGTACTGGCTTGAACCAGCAATGATGTTTTTCACCATTGTTGAAAGTTATGAGTTGAGTTGTTGTTTAATGCAGTTAGAACTCACTGTTCAAACATTTTCTGGTTGGTGGTAGGTATACCTACCCCTCTGAAAAATGATGGAGTGAGTAACAGTTGGGATGATGACATTCCCAATATATGGAAAGTCATAAAATTCCATGGTTCCAAACCACCAACCAGTTTTGTAACCAACAACGAATGATGTTTTTTTCACCAACAAAAGGGACATGTTTTTAGACTGAGCTCCAAGTGAATTGGATGTTTTTTTCTGATGGTAAACATCCTGATTGACCGGACCTGGTAAACGTTAACAAAAAACGATGGAACATCACCATTTTTAATAGGTAAATCAACTAGAAATTTAGAAATGGGTCATTTTCAATAGCAAGGCCTGTTTGTTTACCAGGCCTTTTGTAACATGGATGATTTTTTGCGGCGCTTGCCCATGACTTAGGAAACCCCACGGCCCCATGACTTGACCAACGAAAAGTTTTCCCCTCATTTTCCGATCATTGGGAGGAGCCTCACCAAGGTGAAACAACCCAGCTTGATTATATGGGTATGTGTTGAATAGTGGCATAAAAAAATCCGTATACTAATGGTATACATTGTTTACCATACACCGTTATCAATGCTAAATACTGAAATATGAATCCCCAATTTTCCATGACAATTGCACCCAATCATGGTAAATTCATCCCTGTCAATGCTATTAGTACCAGGCTATTTTAATGTAATAATATACTTCAATTTTTGGAAATGGTTGTTGAGTTCCATATCAAAGTTCGAGGGTGTCAATTCTTTCCCATGGAACAGTGACTGTGATTTGGTCGGCACGTTGAGCCACTGCCCCAGATCGTGGCTGGTTCATATTCCCAACACTTAGAATGGATTAAAATGGAAGACCCCCAAGCCACCATAGGTTCAATAATATAGTTGGGTCGATTTTTTTGGATGATTTGGGCGTACCCGGCCCCATGGCTTAGGAACCTCCATGGCTTGTTGTGCGGCCCGTGTCTTGATTCTCGATTCATACACCCCGTGTTGGGTCAAACTGCGAGGGTTGCTGTTGAATCTGGCTAAAACTCACCAGTTACCCTGCGGTAATCAAACATGGCAATGGAAAATGGATGAACATTGCCCATTTATAGATCGTTTTCCTATTCAATATGGCGATGTTCTATAGCTATGTGCTTAAACACATCACAATTTGGGGGTCCAAAATAGTGACTAATTACTCCTAAAATTGGCAACCCCTAATCAGGGTTATGAACCTGCGACTGACGTTACTATGATCATCATCTCAGGTGAGAAATCAAAAAACCGAAACATGCCCTCTGCTCATTTAACAAAGCTATGGAAGCCATGGCCCATTGATCATTTACGATGATTTACCCATGACAAATTGCGAAACCGCGATTTTCCAATATGTTCCATAGCACTGTTGAATAACCCCTGGGGTAATTGAAACCAGCAAGCACCGAATGAATTCTGGCAACACGCACCCAAACCTTGGCCAAAGGGACACCCCACAAGATCAGCAACAACAGAGCACCCACGGCCACGCCAATGGCCAAACGCACTGACATGGTGCGAAAAAAACAAAAACCGAACTGGTGATTGATTTTTTGGGTTCTCCTTGATGCCAAAGGCGGGGTTCAAATGAAGAGATCCGGTTTTCGGATGCTGTTTTTGGATGGATCGACCCTGTTTTCATGGAACAGCCCGAAGTTTCAGGCGTGCTTGGATGCATCTGGATTCTGTGTTGGTCCAATATAAATCCACAATGGGATGTGTTTAGGCTTCAAGCTGATGATGAAGTTTCTCTTGTTTCACTCAGCTACAAAGTTTTATGTTTCAAACATACAATTGGGTCATACTGGGTCCCTAGTCAAGTACCTATTGACTGGTCTAGGCCGCAATCATTAGCTCTCTGGACCCACAGCGGAGCTTTTCAAACAGCTGCAGTGGGAGCATGACGAGTCGACCACAAACCGTTTCTGGGACATCAAAAAAAGGCAGCGGGCAGTTTCTGTAAACTTTTGGTCAGGCAGAATCCATGAGATATTTCTTCCTGCTTCCTGTTCAGTAGGCGGCTAGAAAATAATGCTTCAGAGGGCGACTCAGAGTTATTTTTGTGCATCTTGCGATGGATTCCCCTTTGCCAACACTTTTGTTTTTTTTTGTTCTTTTAGAACATGTCAGTACGCATGCCATCCCATGGTTGCAATTGATGGCCAACTGAAGTCAGCGAGAGATGACACAATGAATGAAATATGGGCTATTCCAAAACTGGGACATACCCCCAAATTGCAATTTTTGCATTGAAATCTGGTGCTGTGCCACAGCCCAATCTCTATCCCAATTATGGTTTTCAGCAACTCACTTGTCATCAATACTCCCACTTTTGCTGGTTGAGTCTTCCCCTGGTGTTCGTTGTACCCGTAAACTTTGCTTGGTTGAAGATATACCAACTAAGCGAATATAAACATGATGTATATACACACATGTATCCATAGGCATGCGCGAGTATGCATGAACACATATGTGTATATATATATACATATGTTTATATATTGTAATACTATCGTTGTTGTCTTCATTTTTTAAACATTATTATATTGTAATTATTTTCATTACCATTTGAAACAAATTTGAAACATATCATTATTGCAATCGTCACGAGTATTATTTTAATCACATTAGTCATTAGTCGGTGTTACCCTCGATAAGATCGGATGCATGACTTTGTCATTTGAACATCGGCGTTGACAACGGAATACCACTAAACTCATCCAAAATCTATTGATTAATCTCACAATTGTCTTTACTTGAATTACTGTTTTGTGGGTGTACTCCGTTTTCAGACATACCCATATCTCACACTGTTTGTGATATATCCCATGATAACAACATTATATATATATATATTCCCTTTATATCGACATGATATCCCGTGTAGATCTATTTCTCACTCGCCTTTTGGGCTGGTTAAATCATCATCAACCCAACTAATAATATTGCTGGTTAATACAGTAAATCCCGCAAAAAACTGTATCCCAATTGAATGGTTGGGGGAGTATACTTGGGAAAATTGGTTTTTGGAAATCTTCAATATCACAATTTTATTGAATACTTGGGGGACTATACTGGGAAATTCTTGGATAAATATCACAGAAAATAAATTGTCTATAACATATCCAAACTTTTTTGGATATCAATTTTCTGTGATAAAATCAGTGGTTTATCCTAAGAATAAACGAATAAACCTCCAGGAATCCCCCAAAAGATTCAAGCTCGTATATTTATCACTTTTCTATCTTTCTGGGGGTTGCTATATATACGTATAATTATATATATATATATACCCAGATCATTGGGATACTATGAGTGAAAGAAATCGTGCACCAATTGGCATTGGGATTCCTATGAAACACTGTAAATACTGGGATAAACATGGATCAACCATGATACACCATTTACCAACTGGCGCAGGATTTCTTCCACAAACATGTCCCGGAAAAACGATAACGGCCGCCCCACGTCAAATCACCACGGCCTGCAGTTCGGCAGAGTGACGCTTGGCGGCTGCCAAGTGTTCGCCTGGTGTCACCATGGCTCCGGCGGAGCCATTGAGCATCCACAAATGTTGGAAAATGCGAAATTCATTTACCATCCAAAAAAATAGGAAAATGGAGAGTTAATTAACCATAAAAACAAATGCAGGTAAATGTGCATTTAATTAGCCATAGAAAAATGTTGGTGCATGGGGAGTTAATTCACCATGAAAAAATGCGGATAAGCGGGGGAGTTAATTAACCATCAACAAAAGCGGGTAAACGGGGAGTTAACTAACCATCAAACAATGTGGGAAAATGGAGGGTTAACCATGAAACATGTGGGACATTGGTAAGTTAACCATCAAAAAATGTGGGAATTTTATGGAATTTTGGGAGTTAACCATGAAAGAATTGGGAAAATGAGGAGTTCTCCTTGAAACATGTGGGACATCAGGATCAAACTTAGGGGGTTCATCAACCGAATTTTTGTGACAGACTCAACAAAGCATGAATAGCGTTAAATGGTGATTTCATCCAACATAAGGATTAAACCACATTTAGCCAAGAAAAGTTAGGGGATGAAAAAATGATTTATGATTTTAACTTGAGTTTAGTGAACCCAGTTTCCAGATTTCAGGAACTGTCCAACGTTGCCTCAAGATGCTTCATTTCGTGAGTTTCCTGCACTTTAGGACGTTTTTCCAGCGCGATTTCCATGGCTTTCCCAATCCAAAAATGGGATGAGATTCGATTTCTCTACCCTCCGGTGAACGTTTACATAACGAACTGGAAAATCACCATTTTCTAAAAATGGGAAAATCCACTATTTCGACTGGGCCATTTTTTAAATAGCTTTTTGTATGTTTACCAGAGGGTATTTGGAGTCCCAAACAGGAGATTTTTTAGTACCCCTGTTTTCCAGCAGTGACATGTTTGGAACATCATGGCTTTGATGGCGAAATCCCAAGTTGTCCAACGTATTTTTGATGCTTAGATGGCTTAGATTCCCAATGGGAACCCCACATTTTTCATGTCCCACATGTACATTCCACGCGTTTTGATGTCCGGCCATGGTTTGTTGGGTCCCCAGTCCCCGCCTCCCTGCTGGACCATCTGAAGCTCCAACTTTTCGCCTTGGTGAAGCAAGATGTTCTTCTGTTTTTGGACCAAACGCTACCTTTTATTTTGGGCTCCAAACACAAAGTCTACAGCGCCCATTCCTCAATCCCAGGCTTAGATCTTGAGATCTTTTGTTGGAGACCAGTGAAAACTTGGTTGCTGCTGGTGGTTGAGCCACTCCAATACTCTCCAGTTTGGGCAGAGCCAAATGTGTCAACTTTTGCTCACTGTCTGAAAACCGCTGAACAAACTTGCGGCGTCTCAAAGAATCAGCGACAGGAAACACACTTGTTCAGTGCGCTTTCTGGATTGCCGAGTGGTGTCAGCATCGTTACACAACATGAAACGATGTATCGAAAAAAAAAAAAACAAATCTGAAGAGATTCGTGGCTGGTTTTTTCAGGCTTTACAACAAACATGGCAACATGAAAGACCCCCTTTGAGTCATCCTCTGGTAAACAAACAGTTTGCTATTGAAAATGGCCATAGAAATAGTTGATTTACCCAGTAATAGCATGGTGACTTTCCAGTTCGTTATGTAAACGTTTACCATAGGGTAGATGATTTTCCGGTTAAAAAAAACATATATTTAAAACCTCCAGTACTATAGGTCCGCCGTATGTTGAACGATTAAGATTATGTGTCTGGACACTCTTAACACCACAACTGAAATTCTATTTTGAAACAGATCTGCTTCAGTTTGGAAACAGGTCTGCTTCCGTACAGCATGTCCCTGACAGCAGACAGCGAACAGGCCAAGACATGAGTACAAGGTCCAAGAATATGTTCACAGTTTCTCTGGTTGGCGGCTTCAGCATCCCAATATCTGGGTAAATTATAATATTTCACTAACCTGAATTAAGGCCATTTGGGGATGATTTCCCATATATAAACCATGATTTCCAGGGTTCGGGAGAACAGTGAGGTCGTTATAATTTACCCAGCAATATCTTCCCACATCCAACTTTCAGATCTTTCAGGTTCCAGAAAAGACTAACCAATGGCACAATGATCCGATCCTGGTGAAGCAACGAAGCAACGTTCGAAGCCATCAACCAGGTTGCAGAAAAAGGGACTCCGGCATGTCCCATAGTTGACCAGCGAAGCCATGAGAGGGGCAATACATAATATGTTGCATCATATATAATATGTATATATATATATGTATAACATTGTACATAACATATATGATGTATAATTACGTATCTATATAATATATATATATATATAATATGTATAATATACAACACATACATACATATATACAATATATAGTCTATAGTATCTAACAATGTATATATATATATATACAATATATACATATATATATACACAATATATATATATATATACATACATATATATATATATAAGGACCCATGCGGCCAATTGTTTGTAGGGTCATATGACAGACAGGGATGCGTTTATGCGTTTCTACCGCACGATTCGACACACCTGTCAGTCAGCAACAACCCCCCAAAACCTCGAAAACCGTGACGGACAAAACACATGGCCAAACACGTACGTCCACAAAAAAGTGGATTTGTGGAAATGCTGGTATACATTTAATTTAATATGGCTTTATATTATATCTATTTCAATCATTTCAACCAAAGACCCATTGGATGATTTTGAGTTTGGAAGATGAATCACATCATATTTCAAGGTGGGCTGCTGAATTTGGCCGTGTAACATCCAGATGCTATGCCCTGAACCTCGCTTCACTGGACATTCCGGTAAATTCGGTGCGAAGGAATGAGCCAACTCTCACCCTTTCGACACTAAATGACGATCATAAAAGGATATGGGTATGAGTCAAAACCTTGGTACCCTAGTGAAGCCCAAAATAGCTGGTAAATGGATGTTCATCCCACTAAAAATGGCATCTATAGGTATTGACCCATACCCATATAAAAAAAAGGTGAAAGGAGCGATGCGCTGCAAGAAGATTGGCCACCAGCTCCCTTCAGAGTTGAGCAGTGGCACAATCATGAGCATGGAGACTGGTTGGTGGTTGAGCCACCTACCCCTCTGAAAAATATGAGTTCGTCAGTTGGGATGATGAAATTCCCTTTTCTGAATGGAAAGTCATAAAACCACCAGAATATGATATATATATATATACATATATATATATACATATATATATATATATTGATATATACTTATGACGTAATGTGGCAACCCCCTCCAGCAAATTGGATCAAATTGGATCAACCTGGGGGTTTGTTTCATGGCCACTGCCCAGCTTAATCAAAACCTCTCATATGAAGCCTCCGTGCAAGGTGATCCTCGCGCTTTTGCTGAACAACTCGTTCGAGATCTGCGGAATCCTTAGCCGGTTTCCTCCAGATGGTTCCTCCAGTGACGTTTCCTTTGGGACAACCCCAAACAGGAACCACCCTGAGAAATTTTTCGTTGCTTCACTGATCTATTCTGCCAAGACACCACTTCTTTCATGAATCGCTCTAACTCGGCGCCAGAATGTGTGCTCTGCGGTGGAATCTGTTCCATGTGTTCCATGGATCGGAAGCTCCAGCGCGGTTCGGCAACGTCAATGGCCACCTCGTCATATTCAACGGTCCATCGGACGACTGTTCCTTGATGGCACAGCTCATAGATGCTGGTAAGAATCCAAGAATTAGTCACGGATGTCACGCACTCATCATCTAATCATCCACTTAGTTGATATGGAGTACGATTCTGGGTAAATTATAATATTTCACTAACCTGAATTAAGGCCATTTGGGGATGATTTCCCTTACTAACCATGATTTCCAGGGTTCGGGAGAACAGTGAGGTCGTTATAATTTACCAGGATGATCCTGTGTACACAACAAGATGTGGTGGAACAGCCACCATGAATGTAGATCGTTTTCCGCATCTGAAGGTTTATCCCAGAGATCCCTAGGGTATTTTCACAGATCTGAATAGCTTTGCAGTAGCAATCTGGTTGGTGGTTTTTCGCCCTACCCATCTGAAAAAATATGAGTTCGTCAGTTGGGATGATGACATTCCCAATATATCCCAATATAAAAACCACCAACCAGCTATTATTATGGAAAGATCCACCATTTATTTATGAGGATTATCCCATATATTATGGAAAATAAAAAATGTGCCAAACCACCAACCAGCTATTGGCTAACAAGATGCGAGTCGTCCGAGACATCTCTTGAGGCTTGTGAGATGATGATGTGCATCCCATCGTGAGACCGCTGGTGCGTGCGCACGTTTCGTGGTCCGAGGGAATTTGAGTTCAAAACACTCCTGGAGTCCACTTTCAACCCAGGTTTAGCAGTGGGATATTATCCAATTTAAATGCAACTTAATTATATATATTAAATATATATATATATTACATACATACATACTTTTTTTGGGGCTATTCATTGCCATATTTACGTGTGGTCAGAAACGGGGAATCACCAACAGCACGCCATCGGTTTCCTCGGTTCTTCAAATCATGATGCTGCTCACTTTCTTTTGACTTCCTCGTTTCATGATTCTTCCAAAACACAAGCTTTTCTGGTTTTCGGTCAGCCAGCAAGATACCCATGACCAGCGTGTGATACCCCACCAAACCAATATATCCTCCACTAAACATGTTCAGCAGGGTGTGGCATAAGTATTTCACCTTGAACATTAAAGAGCACAGCAAAAAAACATCACAATTCACCAACCATTCACAATGTGCTTTGCCCCAAAAATAACCAAGTTTCTTGAATCATGTCCAATTCTTTATAGTTGTCCGTTGCTCTCCCAGAAAAAACAAACCGTCCACACCTGTCCGCCGAACCCTTGAGACTCCAACGTTGCAGTTGTTGATTCTGAGCCTGCTGCGAAGAGGCGATGATTTGTTTCATCTGGCCAGGTTTCAATGGGATAATCCATCTTGGGGAGAATATAATAGGGACAATCCAGAGATATATCGACTAAAACAGGGATGCTAAGCAGTGAGGAATCCATGTTCTGTTGCTTCTGAAAGGGTATCCCACAATCCAGTGGCTCATTCTCATTTTCCGATGTCCAGTTTTTTTCATACCGCAGTATACCCCTTAGTCTCCAAGAAGAAACCTGCCCTTAGAAACCCTCCTTTAGTATTGAATCTATTCATGTTGGGTCCCTTATTGGGGCATTGACGGATGGCCACAAGTCATGAAGGATCTACTCAGCTGCTCCATTTCACCCTCTTCAAGGAAGGTCCCAATGGGGCCATTGCCATGTACGACCCTCACCGTTGATGGCAACCTTTACTGGCCCAAGCTGCTTGAAATCCAATGCTTCCTGGTTTACCAGGAATTTTTGCTGGCCGAAACGTTCACCAATCAATTTTGTTGGCTAACTGTAACAGTAATCTTAGATTCCCCCAAACATCATTGTCAGCTGGTTTATCTTTCCATGTGATTCAATCCCATAAAAAAAAATCACCGGCTTTTCGTTACCCTCTGGTTATGACTAACACTTCGCCATGGTTTTTCGATGGTCCATAGAAATAGATGGTTTACCGAACTTAAAAATGGTGATTCTCCATGGCTATGTAACAAATAACCAGAGGGTAAATCCAATTCAATCCACATGTCAATGGCCATGACTCAGGAACCGATTGATTGGAGGTACCAATCCCATATATAAGGCCTATTTTTGAGGCCTAAATTTCAGGGAATATCCCCACAAAATATGGCCAAAAATATGGTACTAACGTACCTCCATTTTAGGATCCTGGATTTCCCATTGATAATCATCAATAACCATCAATAACCATTATTAACCAGTATTAACCATTAAATGGCTGGTGGGGATCCGCGAAATTCCCATGTGCTGTCCGACGGGCACCCATCGAAAAACACCAGATGCAGCTATCGGGGAAGCTGCGATCAACATGATCACCGTCTCAAAGGTCACCGTTTCGTGGTTTGTTTCCCAATACATCCCTTTACAGAATCTCATTATAAATAATAATAATACCCTCTGGTAATTTAACATAGCTATTGAAAATGGCCATTTATAGTGAGTTTTCCCATTAAACATGGTGATTTTCCATAGCTATGTTAAATTACCAGAGGGTAATAATAATAATAAAATAATAATAATAATTATCATGCAAAAAATCACAATCATTGATCCCAATCATGAAAAAAAACATGGTATTTTAAACAGTATCTTCACCAAAATCACATTGAAATGCCATAAAATTGACCATTTCCAACACTTTCATCAGCCTAAAAAAAACCAGAGCCGTATTGTTGGTTTTCAAGTACCGCACCTGCAGTTGCATCAGCTGCGTCTGCAGTGCCGCAACTGCTGGTGCCGGTGCCGCAACTGCGGGCGCAACAGCAGCCGAAACACCTGCGCGCAGGACTGGGGGGAAGGTTTTGCGGGAATATCCGTCGTATTACTCATGATATATATCTGGGTAAATTATAATACCTGAATTAAGGCCATTTGGGGATGATTTCCCTTACTAACCATGATTTCCAGGGTTCGGTCGTAGTGAGGTCGTTATAATTTACCCGTATATATATATATATACACACACACATAAATACTATGGTTATTAAACATGTTATATCTAAAGTGTTTTTGATAATACATCCCTAATATCATGTAATACGAACTGATATCATTGTATCATGTTTGTTGGGATATAACATGATATAACCGCTTCAACTGTCCTGATATAACCACATATAACTGGAACTGCAACCCCAAGTATGGTATAATATACTTCGGGAAATACGGAAATATTATGTGGAATATCAAATGGGCGGATCCGGATCAAATACGATACAATGGGAATAATGCAATAGTATGACAATATGACATCATCAAGGGGGATAACATGGGGATAGAATCACTGAGCTATGTGATTTGCGCTAAATCTTTGGGGTATAAGTCATGATACATGGGAGAATATGGGGATGCAATCAGCATGGAGACTTGCTGCGGTAAATGTTGGGGATTGTTGGGGCGCCACCATATCCTGGATGGGGAAAGCAGCAGGGATATATGGTGGTTTCCTAAGTCATGGGGGTACCCCCACAACATCCATTTATAGATGGTTTTTCCCTAACAAAAACCATCCATTTTGGGGTACACCCATTTATGGAAACCTCCATATGTTTGGGAATATCAACTAAGCCATGATAGAAAAGGTCTCTCTGTATACTCATTATAAGGATTGCCAGAAACCCTTGTCACCACCTTTCTGGGTTGCTGTGAGGGTCACCTTGGGCACCATCCAAATTGATGTTTTACTAAGCAAATGGTTAAACTATGAAAAGATTAGCCTGACACTTTGGGACATTTAGGGATGCTTCCTGTTTCGGCCGTTTTTTCACGGGGTTATTTCAGCCGGAACGGTGGGCAATGATCTGTGAACTGGGATGCGCAAGTGGTCATTGAAGCCTGGGGAGTTTCGGATATACATTGACAGAATATGAATGATACCTGGAAACAATTTGGATGGTACTACCATGTACTACCCGTTAAGGATAGTGAACTGTCCCATTTGAACAATTGGACATCACCCTGTGAATGGAGGAATTCTCTCCAACAGCCATTTGACCAGGTGATGTTCAGAATCACCGCAATGGGACATTTAGCAACCGCCTTGGGAAATGGAGAGACACTCACAGCTACCAATACTGCGTAGCCATACCTTAATTAGCCTCTGGTAATCAAACATGGCAATGGAAAATACCTCTTTCTTAGATTCGTTTTCCGGTTAAAATGCACATTTAGAGGATATTTCCCATTGCCATTGTTAATTGCTGGTCTTACAACAAAGGCATTGTGTTTTTGACGAATTAGGCTGTGTCACCACCAGCTGACTGTCCATAGGAAGTGGGCTACATACTGTGGATGGCCAGTTGGTAATTATTGGTAACTATGAAACACTATAAATAATGGGATTATAATGGGATAAATTATAGATCAATAAAAAACTATTGGTAACTATAGTTGGTAACTATTGGTAACTATAAACAATGGGATTATAATGGGATAAACCATCTACCAACTGGTGCAGGATTTCTTCTATCCACAAGAGCACGAACTAATTGGTGTCCTTCCTTTTGTTATGTTCATCTTATGGAGTGAACCAATCCACTTAGTAACCATATTGAGAGGTGCTGGGATGGTACACTGTTTTAAGGCAACTGTCATGGAGAACATGATGATCAATCCTGAGATCTTGGGTTCCTGCCGATTTGAGACCAAACCACATCACACATTTCCCTCCTTATTTGGCTTCTGAAAATAAGGCAAGTGCCCAGAACAACATCGTTTAAAACCGAATGTACCGGATCAAACTAGGCATTTTGGAGATTACACACACAACATTCACGTTGCAAAAAGTTATCCCATTACGTTCCCTGAATCCCATCTCTGATCCAAACATATTCCCTATCTGTGCTTAGCAAATCCCTCCCCTTGATCAATTATCTCATCTATATCCCCGTATCCGGGCACTGGTTCGTTTTTTCGGCCTTGTTGGCTTTGACTTGCTCCGCGGACCCGCGGGGACGGGGGAGGGACTTGGCACTTCCCTCTGGACATACTCGGGTTGTAACACCGGTTTCCTGGTTGTGGTACACAACCCCTCCATGGACGACATCGCGGCGTTCTTCCCACGGCATGTCTTGACCAAATCGTGTGATGTCTTGACAATGTCATGCAGTGTCAGTGCAGTGTCAATTTAGTGTCATGCCCCTGAGAGTTGGGAGGATTTCAGGATAGGATCGTACCCTATCGGTTATGATATTCTTGTGCAAGGTCATAGGCCTGGTTAAATCAGGTTAAAACACCATTAAATAACCAATCAGCGGGGGCTTTTGAAAGTCTTGACCAATGAAATGTCCATTTTTTGAGGCTTAAACCTCACTTTCTTATGGATACCCTCTGGTAATTTGTTACATAGCTATGGAAAATTGCCCAGTCGAAATAGTGAGTTTTCCCATTAATAGCATGGTGATTTTCTATAGCTACGTTAGTTTACCAGAGGGTAACCCAGCCATGTTTTTCATGGTAAAACCACCACGAACCGTAAAACCCCCGGGCCTTGCGGGCGCTCCGGGCGGTCCGCCGCTGCCGGTGCCGCCGCTGCCGCGCTGCGAAGCTGAAGATTCTCGCCTTAAAGGCCATGGGGAGCTGAATGGAGGAGTTCGCCTGGAAACTACCCTCCGGTAATTTGGTTACATAGCTATTGAAAATGGCCATTTATAGTGAGTTTTCCCATTAAACATGGTGATTTTCCA